AGACAGTACGATACAAATATATGGTGTTTTATCATTTTACTGTCAGCACAAAGACTGAAAAAACATTTTGGCATTTTAACATTACCTCTTGTGCCTTGACACAATTACAATTTGACGCAACAAATTTTTTTAAAATATAATTTGTACTACGTTGCTTTGTATCACAGAACTACAGTAAAATATTGGTTTGATTTGTTGAATAGAAAATTAACCATCACATTAACCTTTTAAAGTTAAGTATGTTAGACTGGTACATGACATGTATGAGGACAGCAGGACAGTGATGAGATGTACTGTAGGAGTGACAGTTAGCTTCAAGGTGGAGGTGGGAATGCATCAAGGATCGGCCCTGATCTTATTTGCTCTGGTGATGAACCGACTAACAGATGAGTTCAGGCAGGAATCCCAGTGGACTATGATGTTTGCAGATGACATTGGGATCTGTGGTGAGAACAGGTAACAGGTGGAAGAGAACTTGGAGAGGTGGAGGTATGCACTAGAAGAAAGAGGAATTAAAGTCAGCTGTAGTAAGACAGAGTACGTGTGAATGAGAGGAAGGCCGGTGGAACAGTGAGGCTACAAGGAGCAGAGCTCACAAAGGTGCAGGAGTACTTGGGGTCCACTGTCCAGGAAAATGGGGGAATATGGTAAAGAGGTGAAAAAGAGATTCCAGGCAGGAAGGATGGAGTGGATGGAGAAAAGTTTCTGGAGTGATTTGCGACAAAATTATGTCAGCAAAGGTCAAAGGAAAAGTTTACACGACAGTTGTGAGACCAGCTATGTTGTATGGTCTGGAGACAGTGGCATTGACAAAAAGACTGGAGAAAGAACTGGAAGTGGCAAAAAAGAAGATGTTGAGGTTCTCCTTAGGAGTGACAAGGATGGATAAAATTAGGAAAGAGATCATCAGAGGTACAGCCCAGGTTGAACAACTGGGAGATAAAGTTAGAGAGGCCAGACTGAGATGATTTGGACATGTCCAGAGGTGGGACAGTGGGTGTATTGGTAGAAGGATGTTAGAAATACAGCTGCCAGGAAAAAAGACAAAGAGGAGATATATGGATGCTGTTAGAGAGGACATGGAGGTAGTTGGAGTCAGGACAGAGGATGCAGGACAGAGGGAGATGGAGGAGGATGACTCGCTGTGGAGATCCTGAAGAGGGAAAATCCAGAAGAAGATTAACCTTTTAAATTTAATTTAATTACCCAGCTTATAGTTTGTGTTGCTGTATCAATCAATCAGGTTTTTTTATGTTTGAATTTTTCAATCTGACTTTTTCACCAAATATTTTATTTTACAATATGTTTAGTCCAAAAAATTGTAATTCTCTGTGTTCATGAACTAAATCAAAATAGGCATAACATTCTTGTTGCATACGTCACAATGGATTTTCCAAAATTTTGTTGGAAATCCACAAAATAGACATAAAGATAATTTTGTCCATAGATTCTGTAAAAGTGTGAGTCTGCTTTTGGTTTAGCTCATATTTTGTACATGGATGGCCCGCGTGGTTTCCAGAATGATGAGCAGGGATTCTGACATTTTTGTGAAGTTATGTAGGAGGACAGGTTTAGTGTGGATGAATCATGTCTGACCTATGACTGATGGACACAAATTCCTGTCAGCCTTCACCTCCATCTGCTTTTTCCTTCTTTGCTTCCATTTTGCCAGTGTGCTCTAAAATAAACAGTACCAGCTACAGTCTCTTCAGCTGAAGCATATATTTCATATTTGACAAGTCATGCACACACGCACTATGCTCATTTTTGTCAATCTTGCTACAGTAATTTTTTAGTCATTTTTGATGAAGTAGTACACTGCTGGAATAAGAATTTTTGGCCAAGCTGCAAGACTGTGAAGGGACTGCTAGAACAATTTAGTTCCCCGCCCCCATCCCAATAATATCTGTGGCAGCCACTAAACCTTTTATCAGGTTTGAACTTTATTACAGAGGTTAGAAATGGTTTTCTGGTTTTCCATAAAGAAAATTAGGTCCTCTTGTGCTTTCCTTGAAAGAAGACTTTTGTCATGCAGGAAATTCAATGGAAGTCAACTACAATACTCTGTAATGTAAATGCTTTTGCCACATTTTCCCTAATCTTCACTGGAACTATCACTGTCAAGCTTTAGATCACACATTCAAAAGTTTATGATTGCCATGATTTAAAAAAAAAAAAATCTGTCCTAGCCAATCAAAACAAGTTAGAAAGATGTCAAGAAACTTATGATATGGAAGTAAATATGTGTCGCTAGGATTTGAATTAAAAATGCCACTGAAATTTTAATGTTGTGTGTTTGCATTTAATTTTTCATTGTCAAAATATATTCAGAATACATTTTTAACCAAAAAAAAAATAGTCATTGTCATTTATATTTGAAATTTCATGTTATTTTCACTTCAAGCTAAAAATTCACATTATTTCAAAGTGATCACATTTTCAATAGCTGTTTTTCAGTTGAACTTTTCAGCGTTAAAAAAAAATTGGCATAAAAAAATCAACCTTTCAAAATTCAAGCTCAATATTTTCAGTGTCCTGAGATTCAACTGCCTCAATTTCGCTGTCTGAAATTCAGCGTCTAAAAATTCAGTGTTAAAAAGGCAGGGTTACTTCAGGTCACAGAGATTAGCAAAGGATGTCAGAATCCAACACCCACATCCGCTTTCTTAGTCACGTGACGATACGCTTGTTGCGCTCATTTTGAAGGAAAACAGCATGTCCGAGGCTTTCATGGAAGCTAACCCCAACTCAACGGTAAGTTTAGTGCTTTCATTTTTCTGTAGTATAGTTTATGTAGTATTGAACTTCCTGCGCAAAAAAACAAATACAGACAAATGAAAGCATTAAACTCACCATTGAGTTATCGTTAAGCTTCCATGACCTCCCCGGACATGCTGTTTTAATTCAAAATCACCGCGACAAGCGTAACGTCATGTGACTAAGAAAGCGGATGTGGGTGTTGGATTCTGACATCCTCTGCTAATGTCTGTGACCTGAAGTAACCCTGCCTTTTTTTACGCTGAATTTTTAGACGTTGAATTTCAGACAGCGAAACTGAGCTAGTTGAATCTCAGGACTGAAAATATTGAGCTTGAATTTTGAAAGGTTGATTTTTTTTTTTTAATGCCAATTTTTTTTAACACTGAAAAGTTAAACTGAAAAACAGCTATTGAAAATGTGATCACTTTGAAATAATGTGAATTTTTAGCTTGAAGTGAAAATAAATGAAATTTCAAACATATAGAAATAGTGACAATGAATTTTTCTTTGGATAAAAATATATTCTGAATATATTTTAACACTGAAAAATTAAATGTGAACATAGAACATTAACATTTTAGTGGCATTTTTAATTCAAATTCTAATGGCACATATTTACTTCCATATGATGTCTTTTATCTGAAACAGTTTAACATATAAATTTAACTGGGGGTATTTATAGATGGTAAAAAAAAAAGTGTGTCGGAGTATTGTAAAAATAAAACTGTTTTTTTTCCCCCAATGCTGATTTTAATAAATGTTCTGCAAATAAAAGTTTGTTCTTTCTGTAGAATGTTTCAAAACTGAGACATGTCAGCTTAAATTTGGCCACTTTTTAAAGTTCCTAAAGTTGTCAAATTTTTACCAAAAAGCCAATTAACCCCCGAAGGTCTTGTTAAAACAACTTTTTTTTAAATATCCTTATATCTTACATCATAGTCTATTTGACTTTTACGTTAGGTGACATATAATTATTTATTCAAATATATGTAGTACAAGCAAATTATTGCAAAACAGTCTAAATACCTTACATTCTAAGAATTTTTGCTGCAGAAAACAACAAGAAAAAACTAAACAAATAATAAAAACAGATTTCTACATTCAACAAGTAGAAATATGACAGCAGTTTTTTAAGGTGCATTTTATATTTTGTCCATCAGCTTATTTTTATTTCAGACTGTATTCTGTTAATGTATCTTCACATGATCCTATATATTTGCATTTATCTGTATTGTTTAGGCTTTACCATGTATCTGTTTTAAGAATTAGGGTTTCATCCTAAAAATAGCTGGAGGTGTCTGTATTTGTGTAAAAATCAATTTCATGCCATCTCATCTCCTTTTGGTTGGAGTTTTAATAGCGATGGATTTCCTTTAATCTGTGTTGTATTCTCCTACATACACTCAGCCATTAATACACCATAATCTGCCATCTCCGGGACCACAGTTGAGCTGTTGTTTAGCGTCTTCTGACCTGTTGTACAGACTTTGGTCTATTGACTCCCTGTGGATATTTGACAAGAGGTCAGCTAGAGTGTTATCTCCTTTCCTTTATCATCTCATTTCTCCGTTTACTCATCCCTCCATCACATCATTCTGTCAAGGTGGTTTCTTGAAACAAATTATTCTTTGGGTTCTAAAAGGCCAGATGCTCAGGGACACATGCTCAAAACAACTGTTGAAAAACCATCACTATCTGACACAGTCCAAGAAAATTTAATTTGTTACATACCCCACTAGGCCCAGGTGGGACTCTAAACCTTCTGGTTTTCAAGGACTTTTATTTTGTTTAGTTTTTGCTTAGTGCCACCGCTGTTCCCCATCAGGCTTGTGGTGTTTTGCCCTCATACATTAATTTAAATACATGGAAAATATTTTTTTCTAAGGCTGTCATCTTCTTGCTGTTTTTAAACTAAATGCGTCCTCTTGGTTGTTTTATAAGACATTACTTATAAAAAAAACCACTGCAATGGGCTTCGATTTTCTTTATGTTGGCATCATCTTTACTGTTGTTTTATAGACATGCACACATTAAGACAGTGATGTACATATTCAAAGAGGGCTATACATTAGCTATAATAAGGGAGTTTTAATACGTTTTGCAGCAGAAATTTGCTATTTTTTAAGAGTGCAGTTACAGTATATTGTCTACAGCAATTCAATGACAAAAAGACGTGAGAATAAGCTATTTTTAACTGAAGAAAGGATGTTTAAATTTAAATCAGAACTTTTTTCTTTCAGGTACAAGTTGATACGAAGACGAGTCATCTGGTTAATAGGGCAATGGATCTCTGTCAAGTTCAAATCTGACCTTAGACCTTTACTGTATGAAGTGATCCTGAGCCTCATGCAAGATCCTGACCTTGTGGTAAGTCAGCTACACACAAAGTTAACTGTAGAAAATATTTTTTTTGTTATTCATATATTTTACTTAAATTGCAAGGAAGGACTAATTAACCACACAGATTTTATCTGTGCTCCTTTGTCCTTCTCCTCTTCCCGGTATTGTATTCAGGCATTTGGTTTGTTGTAAACATTGTTTTTAGGCTGTGAAGACTGAAGAGAAATTGATGAAATGAGAAAACATTTAGCTGCTACATTACATCAGTCAGGTGGCTTTACTGTACAACGTTCATCAATCATCAGTGACAAGTTTGAGACATGGCTCAATATTACCTATAAAAACTAATTTACTGTATTTTAGTGTAAATGGCTCAATGATGAGAAACTAGAAATGCATCCGGACAAACGGCAACCTCATCTCTTTAGAACTTTTCAGAATGAGGGTGTTGGTATGTTAGTTTGCAACAACAAAATACACCAGCACACTGCATTTTTCTAAAATAGACTATTTAAGTTTAGAGCTTTTTGCCAAAACCTAAACTTTTTCCACCCTCGTTAGCAGATACGAATTGTTGTGGACTTCACAGTATTCTGTCTGGGTCAGACAACAATGTTTAAAACATCCTGATTTTAAAAAGTCTCTTCTCTTCCTCCAATTATTATTGCATCCTTAGGCAGAGAGGAAGGTCAATACTGTTTTCTGCCCTTGTTGCCAACTTTCCAGATACATAGTTAAATTAGAATTGTCACAGATTTGTCATTTTGTTTCTCAACTTATTATTAGAAACTTTTTAAAAGTTGTATTATTGTTGCAAAAATAACTAAAACATTTTTAATATAAAGCAAAGCCTTCTGTTGTTCAAGTACAATCAGCTGTGCCTTATCTGATTTCTTGTTTGGGAAAAGAGGCTGTTATCGTTCTAAAAAGTCATACTCAATTTAAATTACATTTCACCTTGATTTAATTTCATTAGAGCTCTTGATTCTTGTTTTTTTTTTTTAATTAAAGAATGTGAAATGTTTGATTCAATAGTTAAATTCAAAGAAATCAAACTTTCAGCCCCATTAAACTCTTGGTGAACCTCATTTTTCATCATGTATTCCTTCATAATTTGTATTTAAGAAATGTGTTTTCAGATATATGTTCATTTGCATTTCGTGTGTCAAGTACGTACAGTGTAATGTGATTATATTGCAAATCTCTGCCAAGGCAAAATATAAAGTGGGGGTGCATGTTGACATTGGTTTGTGTGCATGACACTAAGATGACACACATACTGTCAGGCAGAATTTCATGAAACTGTATGAAGAGGTGGAACCTGAGCATTCCTTAATATTTTATGTGTATTTGAGGTCAAAGTACAGTACATGTTGACAAGAACTACCTGTCAAAATTTCATGAATGCTGGTGAATAAGTAGGCAAGAGACAAACCCAACAAATGTTGGTGTGTACATGAATCTTTTCAGGAATTTATTGTGAAACAGGGATTTGTCTTTATTTCTGATAAATATTCAGATTGCCCTGTAGCTCAGATCATAACATGACACAAACGCATAAGTTTTTGCCCATGGTAACACTAAAGCTACATTTAAATATATATATTTATATATATATATATATGTGTGTGTGTGTGTGTGTGTGTGTGTGTAATAGAACAATGCACAATAAATTACCTTCTTTTTTAGCTTCAACACTAATTTCATGACTCCAGTTGTGACATATGTAATGCGTCCTCTGTTTTGTATGCTTTAGTAGTAGCCTTTTCACACAGCACTTTGATGCCCTCTTGTGCATTGGGATCATGTGTTAAAGCACGTAGCAGGAATGGGACATTTTCCTGTAATATGCTTCTCAGACAGCAGCTGAGGAAAGCATAGAGGCTAACTGAAATGGTTATCTGAAGTGGGAGATGGCAAAAGCCGCACACCACTCTTGCACTTTTCTTGCTCAGTTGATTTTGCAACACCTGCTTGCTGGACTTAAACACACCAATGTGTCATTTAGTTTCCACTGTTTGGCTTGAATGATCAAAAGGAGAAAAATACATTAAACACTCCAGTTTTGTGTTCACAATACATAGAATACTACATTTAACATTAATCCGCTAACTGCTAAGACAACGGTCAGCTAGTTTGCTTCACACATTTTTATCTCCTTCCAGTAGAAGCTGTGTCAACCAGTCACATTTGGTCATGTGTACACATAGCAAGCCAGTACAATAGCTTACCTTCGACTTGACTCTACTGCATCGACCAGTCACGTCTTGTCGTGTATACATAGTAAGCCATAACCGCTGCATAATGGGCTCTTTGAGGCATGGCCACAACAGACAGGAACAAGCTTGTGAATTTTGACTTAAAGTTGGCAAGGCATCATTTATCAGAAGCTAATTCCGCTAACAATTTTCCAAGGTTTACAAAAACACTAACCTGCTGAATGAAAAATTAACGTTAAATTAGCGTTGGCTGTCGCCTGGGCAGATTTCTGTCACCTGTGTTGCTGGTCGAAGCAGACGGCCAGTTGTCCTGAGCCTGGTTCTGCTGGAGGTTTATTCCTGTTTAAAGTTGTTTTTTCCTTTCCACTGTTACCTTTATGCTTGCTCAGGATGGGAGACTGCGTCCAAATGAAGATTCAACACATCTGCTGGCTTCCTTCCTTAGATAGATAACTTTTACAAATTGGCTTTTGTATCTATGGGAATGTTTTTGTACAGTGCCCTGAGACAACTTCTGTTGTGATTTGGTGTTATATAAAGAAACTGCACTGTAAAAATGAGGAGGGGAAAAAACATGTCTAAAGCCATTCAATCTAATGATGATACAGGGATTAAACAGATGCTGCTTTTAACCAATAAAGAAAACCACATTTATAGTTTGACCCAATCAAAGCAGAGCAGGGCAGGTCATGCTGTCTGATACACGGTGAGTTCAGAGCAGAGAGAGACTGCAGGTAAAAGTTCCAATCAGCATTTACAGTACTTTTTTTAAAGAGTATGCCCGGCTATCCTAAGAAAACTGCCTAAGCCCCTATGAAGGTGATGACATGTAATAAATAAATAAATAAATTTAATTATTAGACACAATTGAGCCTCTTGTCATTAATGTATTCAGCAGATGTATTATTTTTGGGATGTTTCCAACCAATTACTGCACTTATACATACAGCTGTTCAACCATCCCTCAACCATCGCCGATATTTATGTATTATGTACTTATATTTATCTTAAATTTCTAAATTTCAGTTGAGGTGGCATTAAAAAGGTCTTAACATTTCTTAAATCTGACTTGCTGAAACATGCAGATGTCTTGTGTGTGTGTGTGTGTGTGTGTGTGTGTGTGTGTGTGTGTGTGTGCGCGCGCGCGTATGCATTCGTGTGTACATGTGTGTGTTTAGTTTGCCAATTTATTTTTTTCCCAGTAACTTTTGGGTATATTTAAATTTGACCAGTGATATTCAATTACTAGATGGCCCATTTACCACCATTTAATCCTCCAGTAACGCTAAATAAATATGATGATTACTCATGCTATAAATTGGAAATTACTCTAAGGTTTATGAGGGTAATTATGGCCTTTAGAGTTTCAGTGGATTTTTCCAACACAAGCTTACTTTTACATCACTGACCAGTTCGTCGATCATGTTGTGTTTCTCAGTCGATATTACTTGGTTCAGTTTGATACGATTTGACATAATTAATTATTGATCATGAACTTTTAAAGATGCTAAAGGGATAAACAACCCTCCATCAGTAAGTATTAATTATCAAGATATATGGTTGTTTACAGTGGTCAATGTAGCTTGAATGGTAGTGAATCTAAAGTTTTGTCTGCAATAACTTGGATTGTATAAATTGTCATGTCAATCATTATTAAAAAGTCATTCAGGTTTAACCCAATAAGAGTTTACTTGTTTGCTTTCCTAAGTTTACTGTTTTACGCTCATACTTGAGTAATTTAGATTATGAATTGTATGTAGAGAGATGTTCTGCACTGTATCTGGATTAAAATGTACGTTAAATTGTATTTATAATAATTTCAGCCATTGTGGCGTTTGGCTTCAACATGCGGGTGTAGCCATGCTGCGCCATCATCTCCAACATCTCGTAGTTATTTCACTCCTTTCTTGTAAGTGAGTAAACTTTATTTATGTAGCACTTTTCATAGATAGAATCACAAAGTGCTTTACAGAAATAAAAAATACAGGTTGAATTTAAAACAGAAACAATAAGAGCACAATTCTTACCATCTTCCCTGTCCCTGCTGACGAAAAACAGGCCCAAACCATGATGCTGCCACCACCATGTTTGACAGTGGGGATGGTGTGTTCAGGGTGATGAGCTGTGTTGCTTTTATGCCAAACATATCGTGTTGCATCGTGGCCAAACAGTTGGATTTTGGTTTCATCTGACCAGAGCACCTTCTTCCACATGTTTGATGTGTCTCCCAGGTGCTTGTGGCAAACTTTAAACAACACTTTTTATGGATATCTTTGAGAAATGGCTTTCTTTTTGCCACTCTTCCATAAAGGCCAGATTTGTGCAGTGTACGACTGATTGTTGTCCTATGGACAGACTCTCCCACCTCAGCTGTAGATCTCTGCAGTTCATCCAGAGTGATCATGGACCTCTTGGCTGCATCTCTGATCAGTCTTCTCCTTGTTGGAGATGAAAGTTTAGAGGGACGGCCGGGTCTTGGTAGATTTGCAGTGGTCTGATACTCCTTCCATTTCAATATGATTGCTTGCACAGTGCTCCTTGGGATGTTTAAAGCTTGGGAAATTTTTTTGTATCCAAATCTGGCTGTAAACTTCTCCACAACATTATCTCAGACCTGCCTGGTGTGGTCCTTGGTCTTCATGATGCGCTCTGCGCTTTGAACAGAACCCTGAGACAATCACAGAGCAGGTGCATTTATACGGAGACTTGATTACACACAGGTGGATTCTATTTATCATCATCAGTCATTTGGGACAACATTGGATCATTCATAGATCCTCACTGAACTTCTGGAGTGAGTTTGCGGCACTGAAAGTAAAGGGGCCCAATAATATTGCACGCCTCACTTTTCAGTTTTTTATTTGTTAAAAAAGTTTGACACATCCAATAAATTTCATTCCACTTCACGATTGTGTCCCATTTGTTGTTGACTCTTCACAAAAAATTAAAATTTTATATTTTTATGTTTGAAGCCTGAAATGTGGCAAAAGGTTGAAAAGTTCAAGTAGGTCGAATACTTTCGCAAGGCACTGTATTTTAAAAAATGAGCTACAACTTTGATTTGCATGTAACATATAAATATTGTAATAAATATTCTATCAGACAGTAATAGCTCATGGCACGGGCCATCAGTTGACAATGATTGTTGTCTGAGTGGCAAAATAAAACAGTTTGGAGCTACAGAACATGTCTTGCCAGCACCCCTTCTTCCATAGAAATTGATTTTTAAGTTGATAACTTACATTACATGCTTTGTTCAAATCTACAGTGGGCGTGTCTTTGAGAAACAAAAATATCTTCAAGAGGTGCAAAATTATTCGATAATTTAACACATCCCAGAAGGCTGCGATGCAAAGACGTGTGCACTGTTTATTCTCATCAATCAGCGGCATTAATGAGCCGATTCATTAGTCATGGATGCCTGTTGCTTTCACTGGGCCTGTTTTCTGCTCCTTGTCTCTTTTCGTGAAATATCCTGTCTTACAGCTGCAAACTTAGCTCATGTTTAATGACAAACTTTGAGTCAAAGCTAAAGCAGTTTAGTGACACATTAAAGTGCTATTTTCAGGCCACTTTTCATTCAACTTTTCTAAAATTGTTAAGCATCAGCTTGTGTTTCAAGCTTATCCCATATTTTGCTGACTTTATTTCCCTCGACTGTCGAAAGACTTTAAGGGATTTCAAATGTGAAAATTTTTTATTCAAATAGTTTTTTTAATTATTTTCCTCCATTATATTTAACATTTTGATAGACACATTTCTTAAACTGCTGATTATTGCAGCGATTGGTTTAAACTAGAAATAGACCGCAAGCACAGAACTTAACAGATGCATTAAAGAAACGTAATGCACATTTTTATTCCATCTATGTATCTTACATTTGATGGCTATTTCTTTACAGTGTTGCTCATTATGCAAAAACTGCTTATAGTAGTTGTAGTTTTTTTAAATAAGCCTTCTATAGTTATAATAGTTAAAGACACAGTGAATTAAGTAAAATTTAAAGCATGTATTATTTTGCATTTTAATTAACACACATTTTGTCATAATGCAGTTTTAAATATTAAACAGGTTCATGCTAAATATTAAATCTTACTCAAATTTTTGCATAATTTATTATTGAAGTTGTTTTTGTTGTAACCATGGCACAAGTTTAACTAGTGACTTGTAGATTTCACAGAATAGTAATAATAATAATAATGAATATGCTTTTGGCTATTCCTCTTTAGAGGTTGCGTCAACGAGTCATCCTCCATCTCTGTCCTCACTCCAACTACTTCCATATCCTCTAACTGCATCCATATATCTCCTCTTTGACTTAATAGTAAATAATAATAATTGCTGATTTCTTTTTCAAGTTTAAGTTTCAAATAAGACACCACATGATTTTTTTTTGCTCATATTTAGTTTATTTTGTCTTACTTTCCCTTCATTTTTTATAATAGCCATTTTATATGTTTATGTTTTTATGCGTTTACCTTTTTATGTTTTGTTTATGTTTATGTTTTTAAACACAGTTTGTTCTTGGTAAATTTTCCAATGGCAATATAATACCTTAAATGAGACTCCTAAATTGTTTTATTATTTTTTTAGTTTTTGTGAAAACTTAATAACTTAAAAAAAAAATACAAGTCTGGGCTTATTACATAAAAAACATTTCAAATAAATTTTATTTTTATTACTATAAATTGAAATATTACATACCGTATTGTGGTTTACATTTAATTATCAGTTTGAATTCAGACTAAAGGGCTTTTGATCAGATAGGAAAATATAAGTAGTTAATCTTCAAAAAAAAGTTGCTTCTCCAGGATTGATAGGTGCATAGTATATTGTATAAAATAAAATAAAGTAACCTAATTTGATTGTTTTGTTTACAGTAAGATTGGTAAAAGCATGAGCAAACTTTCAAGTAATAAATCTGGTGCTTCCACTACATGAACTGGAGCCCTTGTTAGAAGACAGACCAAACAAACGCACTGGAGCTCAAACCAAAACCACTGAAACTGGCCAAGACCAAGGGAGCCAACTGTATTCAAACCAAGTCAAATAGTTTAATGGGTTTAAAAAGCTAACGGCATCACAGAAGTGAATCCATTGGCACTCTCTAAACTAATTATTATTTATTTAAAAATATTAGTATGCATTTGGGCATGGTGGTTTAGTTGGCAGAGCTGTTGCCTCTCAGCGAGAAGGTTGCCGGATCAAATCCCGACCTGGGACCTTTCTGGGTGGAGTTTGCATGTTCTCTCCATGCATGTGTTTTCTCCGCATACTCCAGTTTCCTCCCACAGACCAAAAGCATGCATGTTAGGCTGACTGGTAACTCTAAATTGTCACTAGGTGTGAGTGAGAGCATGAATGGTTGTTTGTCTCGTATGTCTCTCTGTGTCCCTGTGATGGACTGGAGACCTGTCCATGTTGGCCCCATCTCTCGTACAGTGACTGCTGGACATGGGCAGCAGTGACCCCTGTGGCCTGAAAAGGAAGAAGTGGGGTAAAAGATGACGGATGGATGGATGGATGGATATACATACATAGAGGGGAAGAAAACCAAAAATCTAAATAAATTTTAACACATCATGGGTGCTCTCATAACTGAGACTCTGTCTTTCCCATCCAAAGCTGAGCCTTTGAGTATTCTGTATTTTATCAGAATTTTTTTTGTATAGGACTATTTGATGAAGTTCAAGTTTTGAATTACCATAACAGGTACCATCTGCAGAGGGATTAGTCATTTTATGTGCCTTGGCCCAGAAAAGACCATCACTTTCATCAAGACTGAGGAAAAGACAGCTGTAGCTGCCAGGACGAACTGCTCTGGCCTGTTGCCAATAGAGCAAAGAGCGAGAGTATGTGCTTGATGAAAAACTAGAAACAAATGATGATCCCAGAAGACATCACCAATAGTAATGAGTCCAGGGCATCAAGGTGATGAAAATGGAAAAAAACAACAACATCATGTTCTTTCCAATAAGGGCTACTTCAGTCACGAAAGAGCTTGAATATAATGCCTCAAAAACAGTTTGCACTTTGCTTAAATATGTAAAATGATACATGAGGCGAAGAGCTTCACCGAGAACCCCTTTAGAGTAAACCCAAAGGAGGAAGGCTTGTCTTGTGTTGCATTGTGTGGAGTGTCACTGATTAAAATGGGTGATATGTTGCTCTGGTTGCTGAATAACCGTATGAATAATTTACAAACAGACAGCTTCTACTTTTGTTCTAAGATGCTTGTTATTTAACTTGTTGGTCATTTACACATTAATTACATTAGGAGTGAAATTACAATACAAAGCTTGCATGGCTTTTTTAAAACAAATAAATTGCACTTGTTTACGTTTATCTGTATTTATCTCTATCACTGATTACACACTTATAGAAATCCCTCTCACCAACGCGCCATTGAGATGCATAAATTTTGTGCTTGAAAGAATCAGCAGTAATTGAGTTCTCAGCTCCTCACCTTTTTCTGAACTCATTTACCTTCTTTAATCTCCTCTTCCACCCATCTGATTGCTGTCCCTGGTGAAAATACCCACCCCCGTTGCTCTGACTGCTAGATTATGCTGTTGTTATATAAATGTCATGCTGTAGCTTCTTTTAAAGAATGTGTTTAGCTTTTATTGGCTTTAAACCGGACTGTGTTTTTCATGACACTACAGTTAATTGTTTTAATTACAATTCGGATTCATGCTAAAGCAAAATAAGTTTTCTGCAATAAAAGTTAATGTCTACAATTTCATGTTCTTTCATATTTTTATTTCCTAAAGGTTGAAAAAAAAAACGGTAAAAATTGACAGTGGCTGTTTGTAAAGTTTTTCACAAGACTTTTAAGTTTTTAAAAGGCTGTTTTCAAATAAAGCTCATGTTTTCGAACCTATTTGAAAAGGGGCATTAGGTCTTAACAAGTTTGGTCAAATAGATTTATGTTCTTTGTTATTGTATTTAGGGATGCACGATATTATCGGCATGGTAACGGTATTGTCCGATATTAGTGATAAAGTTAAATATCGGACATTCCATCAAAGTAAGTCACCGATATAAAAGGCTTATGTTTTAAGTAAATTTTTAACTAAAAAAAAAAAAACCTATCAATTATATCTATTAATGCTACTACTTATGCACTTTTCACTGGTCGCTTGTGAACAGATTGAGTTTAGATTTGTGAAAATTTACAAATTTGCACTGTTCGAGTGTTGTCATTGTGTTAGGAGTAAATGTCTTGAATAAATTTGACATTAAACATAATCCAAGTTGAAGTGTTACATCATTTTCAGCCCCCTTTTTGTCATCTGCATTTGGTAACAGGCCAAATTGACAAAGAATAATGTAGTATTTTAATTGCACAGCAGAGAAAGCTATGTAGTCCCTGTAAGTAGGTCTAGAGAAAAAAAAAATTGGTTTTGGTATCAGTTATCGGCCAAACAAGTTTTAACATATTGGCATATCGCATAACGGCCAAAAATCCAATATTGTGCATCCCTAATTGTATTGGTTACAGCCCTGCAGCTTTTGTATTTTTCTATTGTATATCCTGAAATTGTCATATTTATCCATGTTTTAGGTTACTACAAACTCCTAATACAAATACTTTGTAAGTTTAGTTTTCTGTGCAACTTTCTAGTAAAACTGATATTGATATATATTTTTTTTCTCCGTCCTCACAGGTGCGCATTGAAACAGCAACAACACTCAAACTGAATATCCTTTCAATTCTAAGACTTCATATCAATCTGAACTTTAGCTTTAATCAAATTGATCATTTAGATTTGATACATTCTTGAAAACACTGCATTGTTGACTATTTGAAAATCTATCAGTCCGCATGTGTTTAATTGATCCTTTTGTGTTTGGTTTATTACTTAACTCGTTATCACCCGTTGATGACTTTGAGTTCAGGACAGACCAATTCCTTCCAGTGAGTATAATTTTTAAATCATTTTTTTTTCTTCTTTTTTTACATCAGATATTTAAAATAACCAGTTTTCAATTTCACATCTAATGCTGTTTGTTATCTCTGTTTTAGTACCTGGAGTCCATCTTTGGACTTCTGTTTCAACTGTTGCAGCAGGTGACAGAATGTGACACTAAAATGCAGGTTCTTCATGTCATCTCCTGCGTCATCGAGAGAGTAAACATCCAGGTGAGTTATCGAACTAAACTTCTGGATCGTGGGTCACACAATACTTAAATTTCCTAGTTTCACTTATAGGATGGAAATGAAAGTGAGGCAAACTCCTGGTTATTGGAGTCCTTTTGTTAGTAAACGATCAGCTGCTTTAAGCTGGATAAAAATCACCTTTTGGTGGTTTTGACCTGAATTTTTTTTAAAAAGCATGTCTAAGGGAAAATAATTACACAGCTATAAAACATTTGTCACTTTGTGCCCTCCCTGACCACAAACATAAAACAACAAAACGACCTCGCTGATAAACAGACGTGAATCATTTTTCATCGGGATGTACGATTCGACGTAGTCCCGATTCTTCCTAAAGCTTCAGGCCTCAGGCAGCACTTGTTCTGATGTCTGCTCTCATTTACCATTCGAGCACCACTTACTCTCGGCAATGCTTTTGTAACTATAAAGATACCTTTTTTTTCTGGTTATCCATTAAGTCACTAATGCATTTGAATGTCAATCTAAAAATAATGACCTTCCTCTCAACCCCTCATGCTTTTTATTTTATATCTATTCTAAGCACCTTTGCTTAAACAATTCCTTGGTTTACATCTGCTACAGAATTTGCTTTCATGCTAGTGGAATGTCAGTTTGGTTATGTCTTTACCAGTCAGCTGCCCCTGACTAAACCTTCAGAGACTGTGGAGGCCCCATTAATATTCTAGTTCCTCACAGGGCATTTTAAACCCACAGCGTGGCAGCAGTTGGGGGTAAAATGCTAACCAATGAAGCCACGAGTGCAACTTGAGTTGAAATGAACACGATGACAGATTTGAGATTTAGCTCCTTTTCTGCTGTCAATCTCATGAGTGTCACCCTAGGCTGGTTAGCGTGTCTGGTTTTCTCACTTTTTATCTGCTTCCTCAGGGCTGCATGTCGTGTTTCTCTTTTTACTGTTCCCCCGCTCATAACCTGCCCTGTTTGAAGGTGTAATTGAGAAAAAAAAAATCCCAGTGTGGGGTCTGCAGCATGACCACACAGCCACTAAAAAATGGTTAGCATGAAATAAACATGAAAATGACTTGTATTGAAATCATGAATTTGGCGCTATAGTCTATTATAAAGTTGTCTTTAAGCAGAGTAGTTGCACCTACTGTTTTCCCTCATAATTTCATTTGCATTCTGCATAAAATGAGGCATGGTGTGTAGCTACCAGGTATTTTTTTTATTGTTTTCATGTAGAAAAATTATATAAAATACTAATAATGGGGTCTAAATTTATGGAGCACATTCATTGTTAAAAATGTCAAATCTAGTCAATATCTGAATATCTATTTCAGTGTTTTATGGACAGTGAACAAGTCAGCTTTGCTATGAAATGTGGAAATGGTGGCTGTAACAAAAAGGCAGTGGGCAGAGTTGAAGTTACAGGATTTGCTTTCAGAATACCAAGACAAGACTAGAGTACCAATGAGTGCAATAGATCAGGCTGGGCTGTTCTCATCCCAAATAGGAAAGTAGAAATTTTGTAGGTTTAAACCAGAAGAGATAGTCTCTGTATGTGAGAGAGGAATACTGAAGATTGAGCTGCCAGGTAAAAAGGAGGAGAAGGGCACAGAGGAGATTAATGGATGTGGTGCGAATAAAAGGGACATGCACGGCAAAAAAACCCAACAAAAACTGGTCATCTGAAGCGATTTGTGATAATCAGCAGAAAGAAGAGGATACACTACCCAAGGCATGATTTTAGTTTAAATGTTACATAAATTAATGAACAAATTTGGATGGCATTGTATCAGCCAATTTAGCATCCAATTATAAATAGATAAATAAAAAAACATCAGTTTTAGGGATGCACGATATTGGATTTTTGGCTGATATCTGATACGCTGATATGGTAAAACTTATTTGGCCGATAACCTATACCAATATCAATATTTCCCACCCCCCACCCCTAGACTTACTTACAGAGACTACATAGCTTTTTCTGCTGTAGAATTAAAATACTACATTATTCTGCATGGTCTTTGTCAATTTGGTCTGCTACCAAATTCAGATGACAAAAAGGGAGCTGAAAATTATGCTTGGATTATGTTTAATGTCAAATTTTCTCACTGGGCTGTCATACAAAAACTGTGCCTTATAAAAAAAAAACAGCGTTTTTTTATATTGTTGTTATTTTGATGGAATGGCCGATATCCGATATTTAACTTTAACGCAAATATCGTCCGATACCGACACCATGCCGATAATATCGTGCATCCCTAATCAGTTTCCACCGGTTCCAAAAAAGTACTTTCATGTTTTGTAATGATTATATTTGTTTTTACTTTCCCAACATAATTCAAATTAAATACATCTCTGATGTAATTACTTGTAAGTTAGCATTTCTGATGCATTTGAATAAACCCATATAGAGTGTTTTCTGAACTTATGCTTGATTTAGTACATTTTATGCATTGAAATTCCAGTTGACTTCACATCAATTTAGTTTATTCATTTTGGTGACCATACTGACAAATCAATTTCAATGCGTAGCCTAATGTCAATGTTGGCTGATGGTTTGATGTGGAGCTCTTCTAAAATGTTAATAAGAACGTGTTCATTTGAATCTAATACAAAAGCAACATATTTGTCACTGAAACAGAGTATTTTTGTAATGGATGCAAAAATAAAAAAATCCTTATGGTGTCTTTGTTCAATATCACAGTGCATGTAACTACAGTAACTTGGGATGTTATAAAACCAGTTTTATAAACTTGCTTGTGATGTTCAGTGCTGAAAAACTCCGAGCCTTTATTTTCAAATTTACCTCATGATATATGTTTTTTTCACCAGGTGAACCGTCTGCTCAATTAAACTTCTGAATCATGCTTCTATAGATCTGAGCTGCTGTAATATGTGCAAGATGAGGTTGCAAATTGCCTTGCTAAAGGCTTTCTTTTCTTACAAAACGTCTGAATTTGTTGCTTCAGAAATTGTATACATTGTTCAGCAACAGTTATGCTTATACAAATGTGCAGGTTACTTTTCCCATGTGACTTTTAAACTAACAGACCAAGTAGGTATGCATTTTTTGTTCTTTGCATGACAAGTCTCTCACATTTGTTGATCCAGCAACAACAAATGCATACCGACAATGATTTTCTCCTTATTTTCCAGTTGCTGTCTGAGGGCTTTTCAATTTTGACATTGAGCCCTGTCCCTGACATTATGCATAGAAAGATTTATTTGGACTTCCTAAATCTTTTTAACATACTGCACATCATAAATAATATGATATTGAGTCTTTGCAATAATCACACAGTCTTTCAGAAAGCGCTGAACCTTTCATCATTTCTCTTCTGAAAGACCGTGTCTGGGAAGCTCTTGAATTGAATTTCTCTGTGATAAGTGTATTTTGTTTTCTCTTTGTTTTTTCTGCTGCAGATTCGACCATATGTAGGCTGTCTGGTTCAATACCTGCCTCTGCTCTGGAAACAATCAGAAGAACACAACATGCTTCGATGTGCCATTCTTACTACACTTATCCACCTGGTTCAGGTACAGCACTTTAGCTTTCATTTATTGCAGGCTCTATATTGTGCTAGATGGTGCAGTTTTAGTCATTTGTTCTAATGTCGGTCACATTTCCACAATTTTTCTTAAAATTAAAAAAATAAAAATAAATTTGCTGACAGACATTGCTACCCCGATGATTGACGCTGCCAGCCTTAACCTTCAGTTTGATTTGGACCCCTGTGTGGCCGCAGTACTTACTGGCAGCAGACGAATTGTTCAGTTATAATGACAATCCTCCACTGAATAAATAATGCAATACAACATCTGGCAAACTAAATGAGAAGCATTGGGGTGCACTGTAGATGGGCCTTGGATAATTCAGATGCATTGCCCAAAACTAACTTGAGTTTGTTAAAGTATATATAAATGTTATACTCTGCCCAAATTCATGCAAATGACTAAAGAAAAAGACACATCTTTTATTCAGTAGTTTACATGTGATCTTTGTGTACAGCTCCACTCAGCATACAGAAGTGTTGATGGCATGGCCAACATTAAGCATGGGTGGTGTAAAGAGACAGCTGCAGTACTCTAATCTTTTTGCAAAAGCTTGAAGATTTGAGTCTGCAAAATGTGTATTTTGACGTTTTAACTTCAGTCCATCTGGCGCTGCTGCAAACTAATCTTGTCTTCTAATGATCAGATGGCATTAAGTCAATTCTTAAGCTCATAAAAGCAGCCATATTGACTCATTTGTTTCCAAAACTTGGATTCATTTTGCCTGTAAGACATATTTGCTGTTTGTGATAGGGAGACAAGGTTGTGCCAGTTTGGGGAATGAGCAAGGATCTTTCTCTTCTACACCCACATTGATGCAGGAGGGAGCAAATTAATGTCATGCCATCAGTGAAACAGTGTTGACAGTTTTGAAACACTACTCTCGATCCTCTTTGCCTTCATACTAAATAATTCTACTCTAAACACCCCAATGCACACACAAACACACAAGTGCGGTTTTAGTTTCATCTCTTCACAGGACTTTTTGGGAGTGTTTTCTGTGAATATACAAAGTGACATGAAATGTGATGGGTTTGGATGCTTAAAAGGACACATTGGTTAAGTCTTCTTTGACAATCAGGGGTTTGAAGCTATGTGTGTATAAAAATGAAAGCAGTTTCAAATGTAAGGAACATTTCAGAGTGCATTATTCATAACCAGCTTTATATGTGATGGTTTTTGGTAACTGCAGCAGTTTGAGCTATCAAATATATTAGGGATGCACAATATTGGATTTTTGGTCAATATCTGATATGCTGATATGTTTAAACTTATTTTGCCGATAACCGATACGAATAGCAATATTTTTTTCCTAGACCTACTTACAGAGACTACATAGCTTTCTCTGCTGTGGAATTAAAATACAACATTGTCTTTGTCCATTTGGCCTGCTACCAAATGCAGAAACCAAAAAGGGGGCTGAAAATGATGTAACACTTCACTTGGATTATGTTTAATGTCAAATTTATTCATGACATTTACTCCTAACACAATGACAACACTCAAACAGTGCAAATTTGTACATTTTCACAAATCTAAACTCAATGGCGTATGTGACATCATTACATTGTGCTGGCACTGCAGGCGTCCTTGTCACTGGGTTGTCATACAAAAACAGTGCCTTTAATATATACGAGTATATATATATATATATATATATATATATATATATATATA